CCGAGTCGTTTCTTGAGGGTCCCGGGCCCGGTGAGGGCCCCCAGAGGCCGCAGATAGCGAGAAACGTGTCCGTCGTGCTGTCGTTCCATGATATTGCCCACCTTCTCGATCGTTTGTCCCATCCCGCCTCTGTTGCTCGTCTGGGGCCAGCTGCCCAGGCCCCTTCTCCGATCAGATCGATCCGATTCGCTATGCCGTCTGGCCCGATCCGGTTAGGTTCTGTGATGTGCGTGTTTCAATGGCGTAGTCTCTGGGAAAAGCTGGACAAGCTGGAAAAGCATGAAAACACAGCGTGTTTCAATGGTTTCGTTGTGGCGAAAGCTGGAAAAGCTGGAAAACACATCGATTTTCATTGGGGTGGTCTCTGGGAAAAGCTGGGAGGAGGAGGAGGAGGAGGAGGAGGAGGGGGGAGGAGGAGGACGAGGCGGAGGAGGAGGACGACGACGAGCAAACGATAAGTGAAGGTTTTGTGATTTTTGTGGTTTGGGGGTGCTGGGGGGGCGACCATATATATATATATTATATATACATACATACATACATACATACATACATACATACATACATACATGCATACATACATACATACATACATACATACATACATACATACATACATACATACATACATACCGACGCTCAACGCGCCGCGCGGCCTGGGCCAGAGCGGTGGCCCCCCGTTCCCCCCGAGGGGGCGGCGCGAGGGGAGCGCGAACCTCGTCGCGCGCGCCGCTTAAGGCGCGAGGCGCGAGGCGCGAACCTGTGGCTGAAGGGCGACGGCGACGACGACGACGACGGCGACGACGACGACGAAGACCACGACGACGAGGGCGAGGACGAAGACAAGGAGGACGAGGACGAGGACGACGACGACGACGACGACCACGACGACGAGGGCGAGGACGAGGACGAGGGCGAGGAGGACGAAGACGACGGCGACGGCGACGGCGACGGCGACGGCGACGAGTCACGACCCCCGGGGCCCACCCGCGCCTTGCGAGGCGCGAGGCGCGCAGCCTCTTGGTGACCGGGCCCCTCTCGGGCCCCGTGCGTGCGTGCTCCCCCCCCCCCCGGGAGCAGCCTCGTCCGGGGGCCACACGCGAAGCCTTACCCGTCCTGGGGCGCTCTTGGGCCGTCCTGGGCCCCTCTCAGGCTGTCTCCGGGCTCTCCCTGGGGAGCGGCACGCCAGGGGGCACCCTGGGCCTCGAGGGGGGCACCTCGCTGTCCACACCCGACGCCCGCCCTCCTAGGGGGCCGCATGCGAACCCCACCCCTGTCCCCCACGGCTTCTGAGGGGGGAGGGTGGGGTTCACTGCGCTCGGGAGCTCCCGAACGAAGTGAGCCCCACCCTCCCCCTCAGGAGTCGTGGGGGGTAGGGGTGGGGCTCGCATGTGGCCCCCTACTCGTCGACAAGCCTCCGGGCGAGCGAAGATCTAGGCCTCCGAAGTGGGGTCGGAGGGGATTCAAGTCGGGCGTGTCCCTCTACTGGCTGGAGGTTCAAAAATAGTCCAGAATAGTCCGGGCACGATGTTTTCACAATTGCTTGCATGTTTCGAGTCTTTTGTTCCGTCCACTAATCGTCTGTAGGAGGACATGCCCAAGCTAAGATGGGATCAGAGGATCGTGCCGCATCGCCGATGCATCGGCGATGCATCTGCGATGCGGCTCGATGTGGGGCCACATTTCCTCCACGCCGACGTCGCCGATGCATCGCCAACGTCACCAGTGCATAAACGAGTCATCGCGGATGTATCGGCGATGCGACACGATCTTCCGACCCCATCTGCTCCGACCCCGTCTAGGAGGCCTCTAGAAGCTAGTCGAGGAGTGGCGAAGCGTCACGGCTTGCCTTTAGGCACCAAAGAATGTTCTGAGAATCTGTTGTAGTGGTGTTCTAAGAACATGTCTGGCTGAGGCGCTCTTCTTTTAGCACATCGGCTTGGTGTTCTAAGAGCATGGCTTTTGTTATGAGCACATTCTTGTGTTCTAAGAAGATTTCGTGGTAGGCTTTTAGGAATGCCCAGACGGTTGGTCCCTGTTCAAGTTAGACGACCCTTCGGCGGCTGTCGACGGGCGCCGCCGCCGCCAGGACAAGTTCGTCGCAATGGAGATCGAGAGCTGCTCCAAGGCCACATATCCCGCGGGCTCACTCGTTCAACTGCCGCGCTTTTCTTCAGTCTCGGCTCCGGGGGGGCCGCTTTCCGGCCACGGGACCGTCCAGCGTGGGCCTGGGACGAAAGCAGCGGCCCGGGGTTCTGGGGCCGCGCACCGAGGAGAGCATGTCGGAGATTGGGGGATGCGAACCAGCCATTTCCGGCCCCCTCGCCCAGCGCCGGGGCCGTCAGAAAACGGCTCGGGATGAGAGGCTCCGGAGAGGCCAGGTCCAGACCGAGTAAGTCCACACGGAGGCCGAGCGCTCCGTGCGGACTTCTGCCCCGCACGGACTCGGCACCCTACCCAGGAGAGGCCAAGTCCCGACGGAGGTTGGCCGTACGGAGGCCGAGCGCTCCGTGTGGACTTCTACCCCGCACGGGCTCAGCACCCTACCCAGGAGAGGCCAAGTCCCGACGGAGGTTGGCCGTACGGAGGCCGAGCGCTCCGTGTGGACTTCTACCCCGCACGGGCTCGGCACCCTAGGCCAAGTCCCGACGGAGGTTGGCCGTACGGAGGCCGAGCGCTCCGTGTGGACTTCTACCCCGCACGGGCTCGGCACCCTACCCAGGAGAGGCCAAGTCCCGACGGAGGTTGGCCGTACGGAGGCCGAGCGCTCCGTGTGGACTTCTACCCCGCACGGGCTCGGCACCCTACCAGGAGAGGCCAAGTCCCGACGGAGGTTGGCCGTACGGAGGTCCGTGTGACTTCTACCCCGCACGGGACCCTACCCAGGAGAGGCCAAGTCCCGACGGAGGTTGGCCGTACGGAGGCCGAGCGCTCCGTGTGGACTTCTACCCCGCACGGGCTCGGCACCCTACCGGGAGAGGCCAAGTCCCGACGGAGGCTGGCCGTACGGAGGCCGAGCACTCCGTGTGGACTTCTGCCCCGCACGGCCTCGGCAGCCTGCCCAGGAGAGGCCAAGTCCCGACGGAGGTTGGCCGTACGGAGGCCGAGCACTCCGTGTGGACTTCTGCCCCGCACGGCCTCGGCAGCCTGCCCAGGAGAGGCCAAGAGGTTGGCCGTACGGAGGCCGAGCACTCCGTGTGGACTTCTGCCCCGCACGGGCTCGGCACCCTACCGGGAGAGGCCAAGTCCCGACGGAGGCTGGCCGTACGGAGGCCGAGCACTCCGTGTGGACTTCTGCCCCGCACGGGCTCAGCACCCTACCCAGGAGAGGCCAAGTCCCGACGGAGGTTGGCCGTACGGAGGCCGAGCGCTCCGTGTGGACTTCTACCCCGCACGGGCTCGGCACCCTACCCAGGAGAGGCCAAGTCCCGACGGAGGTTGGCCGTACGGAGGCGAGCGCTCCGTGTGGACTTCTAGTCGGCACCCGACCCAGAGAGGCCAAGTCCGACGGAGGTTGGCCGTACGGAGGCCGAGCGCTCCGTGTGGACTTCTACCCCGCAACGGGCTCGGCACCCTACCCAGGAGAGGCCAAGTCCCGACGGGGGTTGGCCGTACGGAGGCCGAGCGCTTCCGTGTGGACTTCTACCCCGCACAGGCTCGGCACCCTACCCAGGAGAGGCCAAGTCCCGACGGAGGTTGGCCGTACGGAGGCCGAGCGCTCCGTGTGGACTTCTACCCCGCACGGGCTCGGCACCCTACCGGGAGAGGCCAAGTCCCGACGGAGGCTGGCCGTACGGAGGCCGAGCACTCCGTGTGGACTTCTGCCCCGCACGGCCTCGGCAGCCTGCCCAGGAGAGGCCAAGTCCTGACGGAGGTTGGCCGTACGGAGGCCGAGCACTCCGTGTGGACTTCTGCCCCGCACGGCCTCGGCAGCCTGCCCAGGAGAGGCCAAGTCCCGACGGAGGTTGGCCGTACGGAGGCCGAGCACTCCGTGTGGACTTCTGCCCCGCACGGGCTCGGCACCCTACCGGGAGAGGCCAAGTCCCGACGGAGGCTGTCTGTACGGAGACCGAGCGCTCCGTGTGGACTTCTACCCCGCACGGGCTCAGCACCCTACCCAGGAGAGGCCAAGTCCCGACGGAGGTTGGCCGTACGGAGGCCGAGCGCTCCGTGTGGACTTCTACCCCGCACGGGCTCGGCACCCTACCGGGAGAGGCCAAGTCCCGACGGAGGCTGGCCGTACGGAGGCCGAGCACTCCGTGTGGACTTCTGCCCCGCACGGGCTCGGCACCCTACCCAGGAGAGGCCAAGTCCCGACGGAGGTTGGCCGTACGGAGGTCGAGCACTCCGTGTGGACTTCTGCCCCGCACGGGCTCGGCACCCTACCGGGAGAGGCCAAGTCCCGACGGAGGCTGGCCGTACGGAGGCCGAGCACTCCGTGTGGACTTCTACCCCGCACGGGCTCAGCACCCTGCCCAGGAGAGGCCAAGTCCCGACGGAGGTTGGCCGTACGGAGGCCGAGCGCTCCGTGTGGACTTCTACCCCGCACGGGCTCGGCACCCTACCGGGAGAGGCCAAGTCCCGACGGAGGCTGGCCGTACGGAGACCGAGCGCTCCGTGTGGACTTCTGCCCCGCACGGCCTCGGCAGCCTGCCCAGGAGAGGCCAAGTCCCGACGGAGGTTGGCCGTACGGAGGCCGAGCACTCCGTGTGGACTTCTGCCCCGCACGGGCTCGGCACCCTACCGGGAGAGGCCAAGTCCCGACGGAGGCTGGCCGTACGGAGGCCGAGCACTCCGTGTGGACTTCTGCCCCGCACGGGCTCGGCAGCCTGCCCAGGAGAGGCCAAGTCCCGACGGAGGTTGGCCGTACGGAGACCGAGCACTCCGTGTGGACTTCTACCCCGCACGGACTCAGCACCCTACCGGGAGAGGCCAAGTCCCGACGGAGGCTGGCCGTACGGAGGCCGAGCCCTCCGTGTGGACTTCTGCCCCGCACGGCCTCGGCACCCTGCCCAGGAGAGGCCAAGTCCCGACGGAGGCTGTCTGTACGGAGAGGAGGAGGAAGAGGAGGAGGAAGAGGAGGAGGAGGAGGAGGAGGAGGGAGCCAGGAGGAGGAGGAGGAGCAGGTGGACGAGGAGGAGCAGGAGAAGGAGGAGGAGGAGAATGAGGAGGAGGAGGTGGAGGAGAATGGGGTGAGAGACTCAGGAGAGGCCACGTCCCGACGGAGGCTGGCCGTACGGAGGCCGAGCGCTCCGTGCGGACTTCGACTCCGTGTGGGCTTCGGCCTCTCCCGAGAGGGGCCCGTCCGTGGGGCAGCGGTGCAGACCCCTGGGGGGGCCCACGCTGCAGGAAGGGCGCGGCGTCGGAGGCACGGGTGCCCCGCTCGCGGGCAGGTGAGAGAGAGAGAGAGAGAGAAAAGAAAACAAAAAAAATGGGGAGGGGGAGGAGAGGGAGGAGGAGGAGGAGGAGGAGGAGGAGGAGGAGGAGGAGGACGAGGCGGAGCTGGAGGAGGAGGAGGAGGAGGAGGAGGAGGAGGAGGAGGAGAATGAGGAGGAGGAGGAGGTGGAGGAATGGGGGGAGGAGGAAAGGGAGGAGGAGGAGGAGGAGGAGGAGGAGGAGGAGGAGGGGAGGAGCAGCAGCAGGCAGCCAGGAGGACGAGGCAGGAGCCAGGAGGGAGGAGGAGGAGCTGCTCCAAGGTCTGCTACTCGCTGCCTGAGTGCCAGTACTGGGTCTGGGGCACCGAGGACGAGATATCCTCGCCGCGTCCAGTCCGATCCTCACCGCGTCTTCTGCGGCATCCCAGTTTAGCAACGGAGAGAGCAGGTAGGAGGGGGAGGAGGAGCAGGAGGAGGAGGACGAGCTTGGAGGAGGTGGTAAGAGAGAGAAAGAGAGAGAGAGAGATAAGGGAAGATAAACATTTCAGTAGTCATATAATCGAATTATTCACTGCGTGAAGCTCCCCATCTGTGCATATCATACTCGTGTCGCTTCTCGCTGAAGAACTCTGTCTGTGAGCCTCTGGGTGTGAGAGCGAGTCGGCGTGGACGACCGGCGCGACAACGACGACGGCGACAGCGACAAGTTCAGCGACTTCAGTGGGCATCTTCCAGGAGAGATGAGGGAAGCACACGTGGAAGAGCGAGGGGGCCTTGGACAACCGAACGGGAGAAGACAGTTAATCTGAGCATAAGTGATACGAGTGTGAGTGGGTCTGCATGTAACTGACCCCGGGCATGGTTGAGTGTGAGTGTCAGATAGTCTAAATACGAGAGAGTTTGAGTACGAGTGGGTCCAAAAGTGCGTAACCTGGAGTTTATGGGCGAGTCTGACTGAGAGTGAGTCGGAGTGTAGGTAAGTCTGGGTGTGAGCGAGAACGAGTACGAGTACGAGTCTAAGCTTGACTGGATCTGAGTACGAGTGAGTCTGTCTACGAGTGGATATGAGGGTGGGCGGGTCTGAGTGTGAGCGGTTCTGAGTGCGATTAAGTCTGAGTGTGAGTTCGTCTGAGTATGAGTATGATGAATGTTAAACGGAGTCTGAGTGGGTCTGAGTACGAGTGAATCTGACTACGAGTGAGTTTGATGGCGGGTGGGTCTAAGTGTGAGAGAGTCTGAGTGTGCGCACGACTAGGTGAGAGTGGGTCCGAGTATGGATATGACGACTACGAGTCTGAGTGTGAGTGAGTCTGAGCACGAGTGAGTTTGAGCATAAGTGAGTCTGGGACATCCTCGCAAGCTGGGCCCCCCCGGGGTGCGAGAACCAGCGCCTCGCCCGAGACATGCTCAAGCTCTGCTCCGAAAGCGGATGATGTTGAGAGTGCGAAACAGGCAAAGCGCTCGAGACATCCCCGCAATCTGAGCGCGAACGGACGAGTGAAGTACCCCCTGGTGGCCCCCCCCTTGGGTGTGCTGAAACCAGCGCCTCGACCGAGACATCCTCAGATTCCGCTCCGCAACCATCATCATCATCATCATCATCATCATCATCATCATCATCATCAGCATCATCAGCATCATCAGCATCATCAGCATCATCATCATCATCAGCATCATCATCATCGTCATCGTCATCGTCATCGTCATGATCATCATCATCATCATCAGCATCCTCATCATCAGCAGCATCATCACCGCCATCACCATCATCATCGTCATCGTCGGCATCGTCATAATCGTCGTCATCATCATCGCGATCAGCATCGACATCACCATCATCATCATCATCATCATCATCAGCATCATCATCAGCAGCATCATCATCACCATCGCCATCATCATGACCATCATCATCAGCATCGCCACCACCATCGTCAACATCGTCATCGTCATCATCGTCGTCAGCATCACCATCGCGATCATCATCGTAGTTACCAGCATTATACCATAAGCTAAGGGGGACTGAGTGTGACTCTGGGTGAAGAAGAGGAGGAAGAGGTGTAAAGAGTCGGCGCGGTCGGAGTAATAACAAGAACCCCATCCTTTGGATACCGGGGATAAAAAGGGAAGACGTTCGAAAAAAGAGACCAGAAAAGACGAGAGGAAACAAAGCAGAGAAAACAAGAGAAGAGAAGATAGACACCCACACACACACATATATATAATATACGATAGGAGAGAGAAGAGACGATACTATGTCGATGCATGCATACGGCTGTTTCCGAAACAGTGCTTGCACTCAGGGGGCCTTACGTGTGCTCTGAGGTAACTTGGCCCCAGTGGTGGTCCAGCCGGCTCGTCGCCGCCCGTCGCCGCCATCCGTCGCCGCCACTTGCACTCGTCCACTCGCACTCGTCCACTCGCATTGCATGGCAAAGCAAAGCATCGCACAGCATAGTCGTATGACTAGGCATTGGTTCGCATTGCGTTGCATTGATGTGCGTTGCATTGCTCCATTGCATTGATGTGCTTTGCATTGCTTTGCATTGTTTTGTACTGCTGTGCGTCGCTTTGCATCGCGCTGCACCGCTTTGCATTGCTTCGCATCGACTTGCATTGCGTTGCATTGCATTGCATAGCTGTGCCCCACACGGATTGCACCACATGGATTGCACTACCTAGATTGCATCACATTGATTGCACCACCTAGGCTGCACCGCATAGGTAGCAAGGAAATACGATTTGGGGTCCACGCTGGCTAACATATCTTTGTATCCGTATATATACACAGATATACCTAGACGGCCACCCTTCTGGTGATAAGGAGGTTGTGGGGGGGGAGAGGGGGGGAACCAATATCTGACTCAATCGATCTCACGATCGATCTCACTCAACGGGGCACCACGGGAAATTTGTCGATCTAATTATTGATCTCACTATCGATCTCACTCAACGGGACACCACGGGACACCGCGGGACACCTCTCGATCTCACGATCGGTCTCACTATCGATCTCACTATCGATCTCACTCAACGGGACACCTCGGGACACCACATCGATCTCGCCATCGATCTAATTATCGGTCTCACTATCGATCTCACTCAACGGGACATAACAGGACACCTGTCGATCTCACTATCGATCTCACTTTTTGGAACCACGGGACACCTCGGGTCACCACATCGATCTCAGTATCGATCTCAATATCGATCTCACTCAACGGGATACCACGGGACACCTGTCGATCTCACGATCGATCTCACCATCGATCTTTTTTTGTGGGACACATCGGGGCACCACATCGATCTCACGATCGATCTCACGATCGATCTCACTCAACGGGACACCACGGGACACCACAGGACACCGCGAGCCACCGCTGGACGGACGGACGGGCGGGCGGGGGAGAATCATTTGTCTTGACTTCGCCCAAGCAACGGCAGACACCATGGGACACTGCGGGACACCGCGAGCCACCGCTGGACGGGCGGGCGGGGGAGAATCATTTGTCTTGACTTCGCCCTAGCAACGGCGGACACCATGGGACATCACGGGACACCGCGGGACACCGCGAGCCACGGCCGGACGGGCGGGTGGAGAATCATTTGTCTTGACTTCGCCCTAGCAACGGCGGACACCACGGGGCATCATGGGACACCGCGAGCCACGGCCGGACGGGCGGGCGGAGGAGAATCATTTGTCTTGATTTCGCCCTAGCAACGGCGGGCTCATTCCTCTCGCGCGCCCACGCAGCTTCGCCTCGCCCGCACGCGCGACACGAACGAAACGAAACGATTTCCTGGTTGGGGGTCTCCGTTCCACTGCGATCTCACCCCCCAACCTCCGATATATCCCAAGCAGTGCTTGCACATTGGGGGTTCTTATTTCTGTTCTACGGAACTGGGCCTGGGTGTCGGTCCGGCGGCTCCATGACCGCCATCGCCGCCTCGTCACCGCCCATCGTCTGGGCCTGGGTGTCGGTCTGGCGGCTCCGAACTTGTTGTCGCCGCCCCGTCGCCGTCTCGTCGCCGCCCGTCGGCTGGGCCTGGGTGTCGGTCTGGCGGTTCCGCGCTCGCCGTCGCCGCCTCGTTGCCGCCCGTCGTCTGGGCCTGGGTGTCGGTCTGGCGGCTCTGTGCTCGCTGCCGCCGCCCCTACCACCCCCGCGAGGCCGGGATTATCGATCCTCTCAGGCGCACACGTCGAAATCATTCGAACGCCCTTGCGCGCGCGCCGGGGAAGCACGATCCCTGTCAAATCATACCATGCCGGCCACCTGCGCCCGTCGGCCGCGCGCCCACGTCGAAATCCTTCCAAAATTTTGATGACCGACACGTGGACGCCATCACTGTCATCGGCGTGACCAGCATCGGCGCCGTCACTGGCCACGCTGTCGTCATCGTCGTCGTCGTCCTATCACTTTCGTGCCTGCCGCTGTCGACATCGCCATGAGACCGCCCCCGCCCGAGTCACCGACTCGCCATGAACTGCCCGCGCGCCAGCGCGGCTTGTGAAAAGCGCTGGAAGTCCCCAGCGGTCAGCGCCACTTCGGCCGCGTTGGTCGCGCCAGACTAGCTGCGCTAGCGCGGCCACAGTGATGCGCCAGCCAGCGCGAAGCAGTCAGCGCACTCGCCGCCGCATGGGTTTTGCAAACCAAGCTGCGAGTGGGTATGTGGGATGATTTTGCGAGCAGTGGAGCTGACAAGCTCAAGCTCGGCACGGTGAATTGCACAGCATAGAGTGCACCACACTGATTGCAGCACGCCGGTTGCCCGACATAAGCTAATCGCACAGCTTGAACCACACAGACTGCACCACATAGTCTGCTCCACAAAGGTAGCACAGCATGGGCTGCATAACGTAGACTATAACACATACATTGCACCACGTCGGTTGCACCGCATACATTGCAGACCATACGTTGCTAGAAACACGGTTGGGGCCCACGTTGTAGTGCTGGCGGCTGCGCCGGGGTCTTCGGGGCATCTTGGGGGTCTCCTTGGGGCCTTTTGGGGGCCTTTTTGGTGGTCTCATCGGGGCCTCTTGGAAATAATATTCTGTGGGTTTCTTGGGGTTCTCCTTGGGGTCTCTTGTGACCTTCTTGGGGCCTCTCGGGGGGAAAGATCGAGTCTTCGCTTCGTGGACTCCCTCTTGGGCCTATCTTGGGACAGTCTCAGGGCCCTTTGGGCCGTCTGGGGCGCCTCTTGGACAGTCTTGGGGCCCTCTTCGGCCATCTTGGGGCCGTTTTGGGGGCCTCTTGGGCCGTCATGGGGGCTTCTAGGGCCGTCGTGGGGCGATCTTGGGAACCTCTTGGTCCGTCTCAGAGCGTCGGAAAGCCGAAAAGGCGAGAAGGCCAAAAATGTTCGAAAACGTATGGAATACCGTTGATTGTTGCTTAGTGGGGCCCTCTTGGGAGGCCCCTTGGAGGCCTCGTGAGCCGTCTTGGGAGCATCTTGGGCCGTCTTGGGGCCATCGTGGGACATCTTGGGGCCATCTTGGGCCGTCTTGGCCTCCAGAGGCTATCTTCGGAGCCTCGTCGGGCAATCTTGGAGGCCTCTCGGGCGGTTCTGGCCGCGCGGTGGCGTCACCATGCGAATCCTGGGGTGGCCCGGAGCAGCCTGGGTTTGAGGTTCACACACCCCGGTTGGTTGGTTGGTGGCGCGGCGGAGCCCCTTATCAGACAGTAACACAGGAGGCAGGAAGCAGGACTGGAGAGACAAAAGGCCAAACAACAAATGACAACACATAACACATGACAGCAGACCGCACACACCTTCGCAGCCTTGCGCCCCCAGAGGGGGCCGGCGGATATATACACATTTATTTTCCCATATAGACATCAATGTGAATGTACATGTGTAGAGAGAGAGAGGAGATATAGAGGGGCGCACACACACACGCGCGCACACACGCACACACATAATATATATATATATATATATATATATATGTATGTATGTATGTATGTATATATGTATGTATGTATGTATGTATGTATGTATGTATGTATGTACGTACGTACGTACGTATGTATGTATGTATGTATGTATGCATGCATGCATGCATGCATGCATGCATGGATGGATGTATGTATGTATGTATGTATGTACGTATGTATGTATGTATGTATGTATGTATGTATGTATGTATGTATGTATGTATGTATGTATGTATGTATGTATGTATGTATATAGATTGCGATCGCGGCCTCGCGCGCAGCGACGAGGCGGAGACAGTAAGCCAGAGGGGCTAGCAGCGAGCGCGGCCAGCCCCCTTCAGAAGATGCGCGCACACTCACCCTCACCGCAGTAGCAGACGACGGTTCCGCCCTGCGCCACGGCGACCGGCACTGCGCGCGTGGAACCCTCGCTGCAAGGGCGGACGAGCCACGAGGGACCTGGGCCCCCTCGGCGCGCGGCCACGACAGCGCACAGCAGGCGGACAGAAAGGCTCTGATGCCACGACGGGCCACGGCGGCGGATGGGCGCCTGGAACCTCCCGGTGTCAGCGTGGGGGGGCGCCCCACGGGGAAGGAGGCTCCCCTGAAGCTGCCGGAGGCCTGGCTGCAAGGCAGGCGGAGGGGCTGGGACTTGGAGGTCTGGGGTGGGACAAGCAGCTGGTTCACAGCCGCGCGGAGGACGCAAACGAACTGCTGGCCACAGCCGAGACGGTGGCGAGCAGCACTTGGGTTCGGCTGATGGCGGTACGCTGCGCTTGGCGCGCAGCGTACCAGGCCGCCTGGAGACGCGTCGGTCTGTCCTGCGCATCGGGCGAGGCCAGCCCAGCGCCATCGCTCGAGAGCTCGCCACCTGCTGGCGGCCAGAGCGCTGCCCGCAGCCGCTGGGCGGCCAACGGGGGCGCAGGGCGCCCCATGTGAGGCCTCCCCGTGGGAGGCCACATCCGCGGGCAAGGTTTAAGTCGGGCCTGTCCCCCTGCAGGAGGATTGTCGACGAAAAATAAAAAATACCATAAAAATTATCATAAAAAACATGCAAAAGTAGTCTGGGGACTATTTTGTTTGTTTTTTTTTATTTGTTGGGGGGTATGTTTGGGGCATGTTTTATCTTTCGTCGAAATTCCCCCTGTATAGGGGACAGGCCCGACTTCAGGCAAGGTGGGCGGAGTCACGCAGTCCCCGCACCCCCGCCTAGCGGCGCCACTGCAGGCCACAGTGGGCCGTCTCGCAGGTACGTTCTGCGACGAGCGCGCTGCGGGCCGCGCGAGGGGGGGCGGCGGGGAGCAGCCAGGGTGAAGGAGGAGGAGGAGGAGGAGGAGGAGGAGGAGGGAGGAGGGGGGGGGGGGAGGTCGGTCGGGGGTGTCGGGCGGTGGGACACCCGCGGGTGAGGGGTCGCCGCCTTGGTGTGTCTCCAGGCTGGAGACAAAAACGGGTGCCGTTGTGGTGAGGCCCGGGGTCGGCGGATCAGTAAGCGGATCATCGTTGTCCATGCCTCCGCCGCAGCCGAACAGGCCGTCGTCGGCGTCGATGTGAGCTCAGTGGGCCGTTGTCCAAGCGTCGTCGGGGTCCACGCGAACGGCGCAGTGAGCTTGGGGGGATCGTGCCGAGTTGGTTGGTGAACCACGATTGATGTGGGCCGTTGCTCGGCTTGGTCACCACATATACATATAGCGGTATCTGAAGATTGCTTGGGGAGAAGAGAGAGACAAGGGATATCTGCATACAGATACAGATAGAGATGGTGAAAGAGTGTGCGTATGTGCGTGAAGGAGAGAAATGAGAAATGGACACAGAGGGACCGAGATCGTTACTAGCATCAGCATGTGTACGTATCCATGCTTGAGAGATAGAGAGAGGGAGAGCGCTTGACAAAGTGGGGGAAAGAGGGAAGGGAGGGAAGGAATGAGGGAGAAGGAGGGCAAAGAGGAGTAGACTGTACAGGAAGAGAACAAGGAGGAGCAGGAGCAAGAAAGAGGGAGGGAAGAAGATGGAAGAGGAGGAGGTGGAGGTGGAGGAGGAGGAGGAGAAGGAGGAGGAGGGAGAAGGAGGTAGAAGGAGGACGACATGGAGAGGGAAGAAAGGAAGGAGGGGAGGAGGAGGCATAAGGGAGGAGGAGGAGGTGGCTGTGCAGGAGAGGGGGAGAGAAAAAAGAGGAGGAGGAGACAGAGGAGGAGCGGAAGAACGGAGGAGGACGAGGGAGGGGAGCAGGAGGAAGCAGTGGGGAGGATGAGCAGGAGGAGGAGAAGGAGGAGAAGGAGGAGGAAGAGGAGGAGGCGGGGGAGGAGGAGGAGGAGGAAGTGGAGGAAGAGCCGAGGAAGCCAGTTGTTTAAGTTTTTCTGTCGGGCCCCGAGGTATGAGGCAAGGTCTTGGCCACGAGGTTGATCTTGCATTAAGTAGGTAGGTTTGGTTAGCCGAGCCGACCGCACCTCTTAGGAAACAGAGGAACTGGAGGAGGAGGAGAAGGAGCAGGAGGAGGAGGAGGAGGAGGAGGAGGAGGAGACGAGGAGGAGGAGGAGGAGACGAGGAGGAGGAGGAGGAGGAAGAAAAGGCAAAGTGGTACCACCCTGATCCCCCACTGGAGCCCCCCAGGCCGCAGAACCCGCAGAACCACGTGGAGCCTCCCCCAGCCCTCTGGAGTCTCCTCCCCCCCTCCTCCTCCTGCCCCCCCCTCCTGAACCCAGTTTGGCATGGCCTGGCCCCAGAGCTGCAAAGTCGCCAATTTGAAATTCAGCGCCGCGCGGCGTTTCTCCGATGTCGGCTCGGCGCCATTTGCTTACCCGTACGGGTGGTCCCTCGCTGGAGTGACACTTGCTGCGCGGCTGTCAGGGGCGCGGGGGGGGAGGGGCTCAAATCCAAGCACGCAGGCCGCTGTGGCCGAGCCCCAGGCAGCGATCGGCAAGCCGCGCTCCAAAAGGTTACTCTTGTCCGGGGTCAACCTTGCGCGAGCCAGATCCACCGAGATGGGCACCAAGCATTGGGTATCCGAGGAGGGAGGGATGGAGGGAGCGAGGTGGAGGTGGAGGAGGAGGAGGAGGAGGAGGAGGAGGAGGAGGAGGAGGAGGAGGGAGGAGGGAGGAGGGAGGAGGGAGGAGGGAGGAGGGAGGAGGGCAGCGCGCAGGAGAGTAAGTAGAGGCAGAACACGTTGCCGCTTTCGCGCGGTGCAGGCGCTGGAAGGTGGCGACAGAGCGCACCTGTGCAGCGTTGGTCCGAGTCCGGGTCTGTTGAGTACCCGTCGCGGTGGGGGGTGATCGGCCTACGGTTTGCCCTGGTCCGAAGCTGGCCAGAGGTGGCGTTGGCCCCAGATGCTCCCCAGCTTTCCGCGCCATGTTGCAGCCCCTGGGGCCCTCGTGGTCTCGCGAGGGACGTTCTCGAAGCCATCTGGGCCTCCATGGAACAGCTTGGGTCACCTTGGGCCAAGGCCACCTCTTGTCCCAGACTCCCGACGTCACGACTTGCTCACCACAACGGCGACCCCGAGAGGTCTGGACCTATTCCACAGGACCGGCTTCTCATCCTGATTCGTTGTGGTGACGGCCCCGAGGCCTGGTAAGGGCCCCCAGATGGTTGCAAATAGCAAAAACCTTTCAGTCGAGATATTTCATGGCTCGAGGGGTCTGGGGTGAATCCCTGAGTGTTTCGGGCCCCAGGGCCTCCCACAAAGCGGCCCGGGACGAAACACTGGAGTCACTGGAGTCCAGGGTGGGCCGCGCACTGGAGAGACCAGTCTAGGCTCCGAGATGGAGTCCGAGTAGATGGGGTCGGAAGATCGCGCCGCATCGTCGATGCATCGGCGATGCGACTTGACGTGGAGCCCGATTTTCACCACGTCGCCGATGCATCGCTGACGTCGCCGATGCATCGACGATGCGGCGCGATCCTCCGACCCCATCTACTCCGAACCCATCTGGGTGGCCCCTAACCACACGGTCAGAGAATCTGGGCCACCGCCCGCGAGGAGGGCGAGCAGAAGTGCTGGTTCCGGATCGGGGACAGCGGCAGGGAGGCCGGCGACGGCTGCATGCCGCCGTCGACGTCGCCGTCGTCAGCGTCAACGTCGTCGCCAACGTCAGCTGGTAAGGTCGTCGCATATTGGAGCCGGCTGGGGGTATGAGGTGGCCCAGCACTGGTTCTCGCGAGCAAGAAGGGGGGACGAGGTTTGAGATGCTGAGTTCGAAACTGTGTTTTGTCTTTTTCGGCCTCCAAGGGCCGTCTTCGGGCCCCGAGACCGACAAAAGAATATGGGATGGAAAATTGCACCAGATGGAACCCAGGAGGGGTCCAGGAACCGATTGTGAGTTTTAATTAGGTTTCACCTCTCACCCTCTTGACTTACTTTTTCAGGGCCCAACCAGCTCAGACCCGTTGGCCGCCTCCAAGCGTCGACGTCACCCTCGTCAGTGTCAACGTCGTCGCCACAGTCAAGAGCCAACGTCGTCGCACACGTCGTCGATATCGTCAATTTCAGCGTCGCCGTCGCCGTGGCTTCCCTCTTGGATCAGTTTTTGTCTCGGAGGGTGACGGGGAGGATCACCAGAAGTGAGTGAGAGACAAAGCCCATCGGCGTTGGTTAAATCATTGTGCGAGTGTGGTTATCGGCACTCGCCACCGCCATGCCCCAGCCTCCTGCCTAGCAGGTTGCTGACCGTCACGCTCTTCAAGTCCTGCTCACCTGCTTGCACAATGCACCGCAGAGTACTGCAGGTGCAGAGGTAGATTTAAGCAAAGCGTGCGACAGCATAGATCACGAGATCGGTGAGCAGGTTATGCTTCCGATACATATACCAGCGTCGCAGTGCAGAGGGCGCCACGCTGATGCTGCTTTGGCGGACGCATTGCAGATCCGCTACGACCCCTGCGGTGCGGCTTGCCTCAAGGAGAAAGCGTGGCCCATCGGCAACGATTGTTGGGATAACGTACACGCAGGTTCTACTATCGGGTCCTGGTATGGAGATTCCAGCGTGCGAGTTCTGTTGACGATATCGTACAACAGACCGTTGCAAGTGTTGGTACCACGTGTTTTGGCCACTCCGCCTGCAGATACTGGACCTCTGCTACGGCGCGTGGTGGCCAGGACGCAGACACAATGGTGGTGCCAATACCGTTGGTGGGCGTGGTATGTCCACTTCGACCCTGAGCATCCATGTGTTTTGCACGGGTTCATGTGTTGGCCATTGGGAAGGTCGTAGTGCCACCTTTTGTGGAAACACACATGCAACAGCATGCGGCCATGTTGGGTTTGATGTTCATACGAGTCGTTGGTCAGGGTGCGTGCGTGTGGATGTGTGTGTGTGTGCGCGTGTCTGGTGACTGTAGACGGTGATGGTGTCTTCGAGTGCGACGTTCGTCCCAGGCGATCGAGATTGCTCAGGGGCGTTTCAAGAGGCGTCACCCCAACGAGTCTCGCCGTGGAAATCGAGTGAGCATCTTGAGATGCATTGCGCGCACTCGCTGCCTACAGTGAATTCGCACTGCACGCAACGATTCCGAATACATCCCAGGGGCCTGATTGGCTGCTTTACCAGATGGCGGAGAATGCTCCAGCTGCCTGCGAGAAGTCCCGCCACCGTGCCAGCCCAGCGTTCAGGGTGGCGACCGCTCGAGGGGGCACGGGAGGCCGTCACGCGTGACACCTCATGTCTCCATGCTCGGGAGGACCGTGGTGATGAGGAGGAGCAGGAGGAGGAGGAAGGCCGTCACGCGTGGCATCTCTCGTCTGCACGATGTAAGGAGTTCTCATGGAGCTCGTTTTAGCCGTGTTGTGGCTGCCTTGGCCTTCCGAGAGGCAATGTTGGGGGTCTTTGGGGGCTTCCGCCAGCAGCCTTGGGGCCCTCTTAGGCCGTCTTGAGGTGAGGCTCTTGGCCGTCGTGAGGCCATCTCCAATTTGGGCAGTTGAAGAGCCTTCTAGGACCGTCTTGGGTCCCACGGGACACCTCTCGGGGCCTCGTAGGGTTTCTCTTGGGCCATCTTTGGACCCTTGTCGGGGCCTCCTGGGCCGTCTTAGTGCCATTGTGGAGGCTTCTCGTGCCGTCTTGAATTGACAGACGCCCGAAAAGGCGAGAATGCGACAATCAGACGTCAAAAGCCACTGGTGAATCGATGACCTTGGCTTGTTCGGGCCCTCTTGGAGGTCCTCTGGGGGCCCTTCCGGGCCCTCTTGGAGGCACCTTGCACCGACTTGGAACCATGTCCGGCCGCCATGGGCCCATCTTCTGCCCGTCTTCGAGGCAGAGTGGGCCATCTTCGCTGCCTTGGTTGCCGCCTGGGCCTTCTTGGAAGCTCGGGACGCGGACACTCGCTGTTGACAAGGGATCCTGGCCTCGGCTGCGCGGATCTATCGTTTTTGTTGCCAGGGACCGCGGCCTCGGGAGCAGGGGGTATGCATGCGCCTGTCTGGTAGTACCGGGGGGGGGACCCTACAGGGCAGCACTTGGCACCCTGGCGCGCCCACGTCGTGCAAGCACGGTGGCAGAGGAGGACGGGAAGCGCCTCTGGCGTGGACCGTTTTCATGAATTCCGTTTCGGTTTCCTTTACTAATGGCTCCGCGCCGTGCTTGGAAACCCGCTGGCGAGTTTCTGAAAATGGCCGTTTCGCTCCAGACATCCTCAACCAACCGGCCCCGGAGGGGACTCCGAATCGACATCGTCTTAGAATCGCTCTCGGAGTGCTTTCGAACGGCCCATAGGAGGCCCAAAAGACGCCCCCGAGGGCCCCAAGAGCGCTCAAGAGCGCCCCTTGAGGACCCCAAGAGACCCCCAAGAGCGCTCCAGGAGGCACCCAGGCAGCTCACAAGAACCCTAAGACGGCCCAAGACGGGCCAATAGGGCCCCAAGAGACGCCCTGAAGCGCCCCAGGAGGCCCCCAACCGGCCCAAGAAAGCGCCAAGACGGCCCAAGATGGCGCCGAGACGGCCCAAGAAAGCTTCCAAAGAACCCCACGACGCGCCTAGACAGCCCAAGAAGACCCCGGAAGCCCACAAGAGGACCCAAGAGGCCCTCAAGAAGCCCCCAACAGGCCCCAAGACAACCCCGCGCGGCGCCAGGAGCTCCCACGGTAGTTCGATAGGGTCACCAGGACCCTCTCCTGATTCAACATTTTTCTCAAATTGCCTCTTACCGTCCTCCGTCGTCGTCGTCGTCGTCATCGTCCTCGGCATTCCTCCTTGTACTCGCCCTCGTCTCTTCGTCCTCGTCCTTGCGTTTCTCTTCCTCCTCGTTGTCCTCATGCTCCTCCTCGCTATCCGCACGTTCTCCACGTCGTCCTCGTCATCGCCTCCTCGTCGTCCTCGCCTTCCTTTCCTTTTTTTTCTTCGCCTAACACGCACATTCGACTGTCGCGGCGCTTCCCGGTCTTGTCTGATCAGGTTTCCTGGCGTGCCGTCACGGTGGCAGCCGTGTGTGGAACGACAGTCTACAACATGAGCAGAGGTACCCACCATATACACGATCAGCCACGCCCCATAGGTTAACAATGGCAGGGTGGTTTTGCCCCAGCGCCAGGGCGATCCACTCACCACCCTCACGTTCCTTTTCTTGTTTGATGTCTTCGCGTGGTCAACGTCGTCGTCGAGAGCGTAGGCGGTCGCGGGGAGTCCGAGCCTCTCCTTAGTCCCTTAGTAAGGCTTCCGGGCCCCCGGGCTGTCCTCCGTCACCCGTGCCTCGCCGACGGCCTTCTCCGGTAGAGCCTTGGATGATCCTCCAGAACGGCCGCCCGAAGCTGGAAGTGCGGCTTGAAGACCATCCAGACGCGTCGTCGTCGTCGACGTCATCAACGTGGTCGTTGCCGTCGTCGTCGTCGTCATGTTGCGAGGCCGGCGAGGGCTGGATCTCTGGCGCGAAGGACTGCCACCCGCCGGGCACTCAGGCTCACACTGGGCGCCGAACCTCTGCCTCCGCCTCCTCATTCTCAGCGACGTGGGCTGCTCAACGTCCTCCTCCGCCTCCTCTTGAGCATGCTCCGTTGATCATCACCGTCATCATCATCAACATCATCATCATCATCAACATCATCAACATCATCAACCATCATCATCATCATCATCATCATCATCATCATCATCATCATCATACTCACCCTCCATTTTTTTTCCCTCGTCGACCATGGATCATCCGCTCCGTCATCGTCCTCCTCATCCTCCTCCTCGCCCTCCTCCTCCTCCTCCATCAGCATCAGCATCATCAGCCTCAGCATCAGCATCATCATCAGCATCATCATCAGCATCATCATCAGCATCAGCACCATCATCATCAGCAGCATCATCATCAGCACCATCATCATCAGCAGCATCATCATCCTTCCCGTGTCTAGCGAGACACCGCCGCGTGCCCTGCGCCCATGTCTCGGGTCGGGCGAGAGGGGGGGATTGGGAAAGGGGGGGTACGAAATCTGCTGCATGCAGCTGGTTTCCGCCCCGCCGCCGGGCCCACTCCTCGATGATACATGGGCGCCTCCCGGCACCGGGCGGCGCCGGGAAAATCAGCTGCGTGAGCTGATTCTCAAACCCCCCCTTTGCTGTCCCCCCTCTCGCCCGGCCCGAATGCCTCCCCGGGGCCGCAGCACTGCCGGCCCTCGGCCCCGCGCCAGGCCCCGAGGCGTTCCGCGCGGCACCCTGGCCTGGCCCAGTGGGCCGCCCGCCGCGCGGGCACGGCCTTCACGTGCTGATTCCGTCGGGGGAAGGGGGACACAAAGTAGGAAAAAAACATCCTTCAAAAGTAGGACACAAAGAACAAGTAGGACAACACAAGTAGGAAAAAGAGGACAAAAAGCAGGAAGTGGGCCAAAAAAGGGGGACTTCAAAGGCGCCCTCTGATCGAGGAGCAAAGAGTAGCATAAGCAGAAGCTTTCGGCGCCCCGCGCGGATTTCCTGGATCGGCGCTGGGCCTCCCTGGCGGCGCCTCCGGCGCCGCCCCTCCTCCGTGCGCCAGGGAGGGGGTTCGGCGCCAAGGCAGGAAATCAGCGCGGGGCTCTGGAAGTTTACGCTTATGCTGTCTGTTGCTCCTCTAGCCCTCTGAGTGGTTTCGTCTGCGCCGTCCCCACCTTTACGCTCGCTGCGCACACGAGAGCAGCCCATGACGACCGCGGCCCGGGTCAACAGGCACGGGCGCCCACGACGTCGGGGCCGCCGGGTTAGACTTTAGCACCGTTGGAGGTTATGCAGAGACTTTCGCCCCCAGTTTGCACCAGTCTTTGCTTGAAGCCGAAGGAAGTGCCAGGTGACCCCGATAGATGATTCGCGCGGCCGCTTTATGATCGACGCCACCCGAAGCTGGATCAGCGCCACCGCCCCACTTAGCGCCCAGTTCGACATCGTCAAAAAACAGCAGAGGGCCGATCCGAACTCGCAGGCCCCCCCGAGCGATCATCGTCAAAGCGTATAACACCAACGCCATCCCCGCGCTGCCGTACATCGCGCAGGTCCCACCGCCGCCTCGCGACATCCATTTCGCGGGGAACGGCATCATCAACAAGCTCTTGCACGTGCCGCCGCACACGCTTCGCGGCCCGCGGCGTGGCCCCTGCCTCGGAGATCGGAGCGGTCGACGCAGCTTCCGCCCGCGCGTCGGCGCTGCTCCGTGCCGCCGCCACCGCCACCGAGCGGAAAGGACCCCGCCCCGCGAAGCTGCGGCACGCCACGCGCCACGCCGCTCTCGCGAGCGGTGACCGGCGGACTCGGCTCGCCTGGCGGCGCCGGGCGCCGAGCCGCGGAGGGCGCCCGGAGGCGCGCGGACGGGCCGCCACCGCTGCAGGCAGCCGCCAGCAGCTTCCGCGCGCGCGGGCGGCCGCGCCGCCGAGCGCGGGCTGCCGAGCGCGGCGAGCCCGAGGCTCGGCGAGCCCGAGGCTTCGCGGCGCGGGGGCCGAGGCCTGCGGCCGCCCTCGCGGAGGCAGCGGTGGGGCGCCGCGGCCGGGAGGCGCGCTGCAGGCCGAGCTTGCACCGCGGGCCCGGCGCCCCAAAGGCCGGCGAGGGTCGCTGCGGCGATGGTGCTCCTCCTCCTCCTCCTCCTCCCCCTCCTGCTCCTGTTCCTCCTCCTCCTCCTCCTCCTCCTCCTCCTCTGCTCCTGCTCCTCCTCCTCCTCCTCCTCCTCCTCCTCCTCCTCCTCCCCCTCTCTCCTCCTCCCTCCTCCTCCTCCTCCTCTCCTCCTCCTCCTCCTCCTCCTCTCTCCTCCTCCTCCTCGCCCTCCTCCTCATCCTCCTCATCCTCCTCCTCCTCCTCCTCCTCCTCCTCCTCCTCCTCCTGCTCCTCCTCCTCCTCTCTCCTCCTCCTCATCCTCCTCCTCCTCCTCCTGCTCATCCTCCTCCTCCTCCTCCTCCTCCTCCTCCTGCTCCTGCTCCTCCTCCTCCTCCTCCTGCTCATCCTCCTCCTCCTCTGCGCCCGCCTCTGGGGGCAGAAGAGCACGGCAGCAGCACGGTTTCGTGGCTCGTGGCTCGCGCGGAGTTCGTGGCTCGGCGTCGGATCACGGGCGGCGGGCGTGTCCCGCGCCCTCGCGATCTGGATTCCGGGGCGCGGTCCCGCGGATACGCGGTCGCACGGATCCGCGCGGGGCATCCGCCCAGCATCCGCAGGGTCGCGGCCCAGGGGCTTGGCCCGCGAGGCCGCGGATACGGACATGTTTTTCGCCCACGATTGACTCCCCTCCCTGGCGCGCGGAGCGCGCCTGGGGCAGCGCCTCCGGCGCCGCCAGGAGGGCCCCGGCGCCGATCCAAGACATTCGCGCGGAGTTCCAGAAGTTTCTGTCTGTGCCGGTTGGTCGTTGTCGATGGTTTCGAGGCTTTTATTTTTATCATTGCGTGATATCCGACTCCGAACCAAAACTCCGAATCGGTTTGGAAGGTCGCGTGGAGATCGCGGCGGCCACAAAGCGGGGCAGGGTTTTGGCAAGGAATGGCATGCCTCTTCCCAGCCCACACCCCCGACTCTGCGATGTAGACGTGGCTAACAATAACATCACATGTAGCGATAGAGAGCTGTCAGGTTGTGTCCAACATGATCAACCATGCTTTGAGATTAAAGTCGGACCGCATGACGAGAAACACCCTATCTTTCGTCAGGGTGCCCTCGATTTCTTTGGCTTGCGTTCGGTGTGGAAGGCTCACCAATCTCGAAAATACTGCGAATGACAGGGCACCATGGATTAATTGGGCGCCAGAGCGTTGGGTTTCTTGATGTCAGATTGCCCTACGCAAGAGATCGTTAATCCGCTCTGGTCTAAGTACCCTGGTTTTTGTTCGACTGCAGCCGAAGTGCAAGAAGCTCAACCCTGGACCAAGAGACCTCGGCGGATTTCGGGGTTGGGTTTCCTGCGGCGGGCTTTTCTCGCCGATGAACTTCCCTGAACGCGGCTCGCTCTCATCCACCCAGCCCCCTCTGCCCGCCTCTCTCGGTGCCCACTTCGCTCCGCAGTGTCCCTCCCGTCGCTCGACTGGCGTCTGACCATCCTTGCGCCCAAAAGGATCCACTTCCTCTGTAGGGGTCGATCCTGACAGGGGCTATAGGACAAGGATACGAATCCGTTCCGGAGCGTGCCGGAACGCTTGCAGAGCGTTGGGGAACGCTCTGAGAAGGCCGCGGCGCCCGAGACATCCTCCAGAGCCGCCAGATCTCTGAGATTCTCGGTTCATCCTCGCCCGATGTTACCCTCGTCCTGCGCAGGTCGGCCACGCGCAGCGGGGGGTAGGGGGAGGAGAGAAGGCTTCTTAGAAGCACCCCTGCTTCTCAGAAGGCGCGGGCCATCTCTGCAGACACAACCCAGAGTTATGCGGCCGCGGTGGGTCCCGGCTGGCTGGCTGCTGTGAGGCCGAGACTTTGCCGTGCTCTCTGCGAGGCGCCACCCGCCTCTAGGCCCCTTGCCCGCGCGGTGGCGCAAGTGGCACGGGGACGAGTGCCTCCCCTTCTCCTGTCGCTCCTATCGGCGCACACCATCCCTTCGAATTGCAAAACACGGCACGAACATGATGCCTCGCAGCTTCGCGCGGATTTCCGAGATCGGTGCGCTGGGCCCCCTGGCGGCGCTTCCGGCGCCGCGGGTCCCAGCGCCGATCCAAGAAGCCCGCGCGGACCTCCGATACGAGTTGTTTGCGCCGCCTCCTGCTGCTCTAATTGTACCTCCTTCCCCCCCACCGGCGCCCAGCGCCCATGTCGATCCGAGCGGTTCGGTTCGATTCCATACCCCGAGTTTCTTAGCAAGTGTTGGGGGGGCCGTCACCCCCGCCGACAGCCCCACACCGACCCCCGTCGCGGGTAGCCACCGCGCGCTTTAGGCGCTCCGACCCCCGTCGCGGCGCGAGCCTGACCCGCCCGATTATGTTCGATGCTGGTATTGCGGGGGAGATCCGACGCGGCCCGATGTTCTGTCTGGCGCTGGTGTGCACACTGGCGCGGCCGATCGGAGTCGGTTTTGCGACCCCGTACCGGTGCGGCCCGCTCCGACGCACCTTCCGCTTCGGTCCGATGTCCCGCTTCGATGCTGACTGATCTTGCCCCTCCCTTGCAGGGCTCATTTCGACACCTCCGATTCGATTCGGCTTCGATTTCGGTGGTTTCCAGTCGCGATTCGACTCCAGCTTCCGATTTTTGGGCTGCGATTCCTCAGGGGAGGCCCACCAGCCTGCCGATCTCCGCCGAGTCGACCCTTCCCGCCTCTCGGCTGCCGATTTCCGCCGATCCCGTCCACGTCGATCGCCGAGGCGACGTTCCGATTCGCTTCTGGGTCCTCCGGCCCCCTTGCGGGCAGGAGGGAGGACGAGGGAGGCACTCCGACGCGTGAGTGCGCCGCCCGGCACGCCACGGCGGGGAGGCCGCTGCCGCCCCGCCACGGCTGTGGTCGCCGCGAGAGCCTAGCCTACATGTATGTTGTGCCCATCCTACTTGAGGACCACATCCCAGAAATACTGTCGAGCACCCAGACAAGTGTCAAACGAGTATCGAAACAGTGTCGAAACGGTGTCGGGCGAGTGTCTCCCAGGGGCCGGCACGTGGAAACCTTGAGTTTTTGAGTATTTTTTCGGCGCTCGAAATTCTTCCTGGTGGTCAAGGCTCAAGTAGGTTGGAACATCATAAGCCTACATGTTTCCAGAGCGGTCCGACGTTTCCGGAGTCGGCCGTCTGAGTCTGGTGGGGGAGTCGGCCGATGTGTCTGGAGCAGGTCCACGAAACCACGGGAAATAACCAACAGCAGCAACAAAGCAACATAACAGACAAGCAATGGACAAGAGTTGTTGCGCAGAAAGGGGCACAGGTGATGCCCATGGGCAACTCGGAGTGCTGGGCCGAGGGCTTCGGCTACGAGCAGTGTTGCGACGCCCAGCACGGTCCCAACGGCAACGCGCAGTGTTGGGACGGGGTGTACAACTACGACCGTTGCTGCTTCCCCAAGGATCGGCAACGCGCACGCGAGGGCGGGGCGAGGGGGGCGGCTTGTTATAACAGGAAGGCAGAGCTGCTTTTAAAAAGCCAGTGCTGCCCTTTCAGGAGCCATCTTTGAAGCCCCGATGCCTTCTGAGAAGCGCCCTGCCTTCTAGAATGCCGTCCCCCTCCCAGACATCCAGCGCTTCGATTAGTTCGATAGGTGGGCCCCCAGTCGTCTTGACACCTTCCCAGGGCTAGTTTTTCATCCTGGGCATTACGAGGCCCGAGAGTCTAGACATCCTAGATGGGGTCGGAGTAGATGGGGTCGGGGGATCGCGCTGCATCGCCGATGCATCGGCGATGCATCAGCGATGCGGCTCGATGCGGGGCCCAATCTTCTACACGCCAAGGTCGCCGATGCATCGCCGACGTCGCCAGTGCATGGCCGATGCATCGCCGATGCATCGGCGATTCATTGCCAATGCATCGGCGATGCGGCGAGATCCTCCGACCCCATCTATTCGGACCCCATCTAGGAGGCCTCTAGAGAGGGGCTTCCAGGGGTCACAAAATTCTCGCAAAGCCGGTCTCAAGTTTTTCGAGGCGTCGGATTCGGCTACACGCACGAGCGAGTTTTCCCCGGAGTACCCTTTGGTGTGCGACTTCCACGGGCCGAACAGGGGCCAAGCCCAGGCACGTAGGCCGCCACTGCCGCATCACGGGCAACAATCGGCGAGTTTCGCACCAGAGGCCACTCGTACCCAGAGCCCCCCTTGCGCGTGTTAGGAAGACTGTCATCGGCTTGGGAGAATGGGGCTGGGAGAAATGATCTGATCATCCATATTACCGCGCATGCTGAAGGTGCTAGTTACACAGTCGCGGCCTGCATCTTCCCAACCCCTTCCTCCCAACACGATACGACTTGTCTTTATCAGTGTGGCCGATGGATGTCTGGGGTTGCCCCACCTTCTTGTCCGCACGCCCCGACAGGAGGAGCTCTGAGAGAGGGAGGGCGGCCTGAGGCGAGGGCCGGAGACTGACTGTATGTGAGACGTCGGCGCAGAGAAAAAGTCTTCGATGTTCCATCGGCCTCGTCTTCCTCCTCTCCCGCGTTCCCTCGTCGTCCCGCGTGAGGGGCGTGCGAGATCAAAAGGGGGGTCGACCCAAGCTTTGGCCCCGTGGGGGGAAGCAAGAACACAATAACAACAACAACAACAACAACAACAACAACAACAACAACAACAACAACAACAACAACAATTACTAGCACGTGGGGACACTCCGTTCTCACCAGTGCCAGGGTTTTCATACGACGCCCGCCAATACCCCCACTTTGTGGGGGGGGCGGTTCAAGCTCTACCACATTTCCAAACGACTCTTCGCCACCACCCACACCCAGCTTCCCGCCCTATGACGTTCGGACACTTCACTTCGTGGCCTGCGGACGACCGTGGCTACTACACTGGCGCATGGGTACAGTGACTTGTTGTGGTAACATTTTCTGGACGCTAGCTTAGTATACGACTTTTCCCCCTGTTCCAACACTGGACACCTGTACTGGTTTTTGGTGGTAACGTGTTCCTGACGCTAGAATAGGAAACCACGGTAACCAGTACCACGGTAAACCAGTACGACGCCGGTACTGTCGAGGACCTACGGTGCGATTCGTATGATGTTATGTTGCGCGGTGCTAAAATCCCTAAGAAACCCAATGGTTTTTGAAGATTCCGGCGCGCGCGCGCGAAGAAAAAACGAATGTGTCCCGCATGGTATTATTTGACAGGGATGATGGCCCTGGCAGGTGCGCAACCGTTGTTGGAGAAGTTCGAAGCACGTGAAAAAGTTGCTCGCAAAAGCCCGTTTGACAGAAATGTTTTAAAAAGTGTTGGGTTTCCTACAAATCCGCAAGAGCGCGCGGGATGAAATGTTGACACTTTTTTTTTGAAAAACCATTGGTTTTTTGATGTTTTTATGTTAAAATCGCTACGAACACTAAGGTTTTGGAAGGATTTCGTCTTGCGCGCGCGAATGTCCACTTTACCTTATTTTTTGCAAGGGATTCTTGAAGTTTGGTTATGTTAGAACAAGAAATGTCCACTTTGCCTTATTTTTTGCAAGGGAAAACCGCCCGTAACAAAACAACCGGATCCGGACCAACCCGTTTTGCCGGAAACTTCCTCACGAAAATGATGAAAACATGGCTGCGGCCTAGGCGCGGCGAGGGGGCCGTGCACCAGGGGCCCCAACAATAATTATTCTTTAGAAGTAATAATGTTCAACAACAGCAACAACAACAGCAGCAACAACTAGATCACCAAACGCAGCAACATCACACAAACAAAAACACAACAACAACAGCACAAACAACCACAACAACAACAACAATCATTATAAGATAAGACTGTTCGCTCTTGCTGCCCGTGTGTCATTCAAAACGAGTTCCCCACACCCTCGATACCCGCCCTTTTTGTCTTCGATCACACCCCCTTTAGGGGGATTGTTTCTCTTTGCGGGGGGCGGCGGGCTTAGACAGGCGGGCAAACCTCAACGGGCGGACAATCCTTCGTGGGCGTGCATGTGCCCGCCATTGGAATTGGTGTGGGCCCTGCAAAAAGAGGAGGGGGAGAACGAGAGAGAGTGGGCGGAAGGGAGGGGGAGGGACGAAGGAAGAGGAAAAACGCCAGGAGAGAAGGAGCGAAGAGGGGGGCGGTTGATTAGAGGCAGAGAGAGAGAGAGAGAAAGAGAGAGAGAGAGAGAAACACAAAAAAGAGGCAGAGAAAGAGAGAGAGAGAGAGGGGGAGAGAGAGAGAGAGAGAGAGAAAAAAAAAAAAAAGAGGGATGGAGGAGGCAGGAGAGGGGGGGGAGAAGGGAGGAGGGAGAGGAGGGAGAGGGGATAGGGCAGAGAAGCATAAAGATGAGGGAAGAGAGGATGGAGAGAGAAGGGAGGAGAGGAGTGAGGAGGGAGGAGGGAGAGGGAGGAGGGGCAGGAAGGAAAGAGCGTGAACGTTGGAGGAAGTCCTATGCGAAAACGCCGTTCCTGGAGGAAGTCTCGGGCGAGAGCCCACGACGGGCGGACGATCCCCTGACGGGCGGGTCGGGCGGGTGGGACATTCAAGCGGGATGCCTGAGTATGGCGAGAGCGCGATTACTAAGCAAAGTGTAGCGACATCCTTGGCGCAGCGTGTTTCCTGAGCGTCGAAAGCGCGATGTCTGAATTGATTGCATGGAAGTCACAGGCGAGAGCGCAATTCCTGAGTAAGATGTGAGGGGTTATGTGGCGAGAGCGGGGGTCTTGATTAAATTGCGAGGAAGTCTCAATTGCGAGGAAGTCTCTAGCGGGAGCGTCGTTCCTGAGTAAAGTATGAGCAAGTCTCAGATGGGAGCGGGGGTCTTGACCAAATTGCGAGGAAGTCTCAGGCGGGAGCACCGATCCTGAGTAAATTGTGAGGACGTCTCAGGAGCGGGGGTGGGTCCTGAGTATTTTTGGAGGACGTATCAGGCGGGAGCCGTTGTTGTTGTAAACTGGTGGGCCAGGGGCCCAGTTTGAGCATGAAGCTTTTCCCTGTCAGAAAGCAGGGTGCGAGCGTCGAGGGGCACACTTTGATTTAGAAAAAACAGCATGCACCGGTGAGGGGAATTAACACCTGTTATTCTCCAGAAATGAGGGTTCAACAACAACACCAATCAGTTTAAGCATATTCGTTCTTATCTGCTCGCGTGTCGTTCAATATGCATGCCCCAAACCCTGGATACCCGCCCTCTTCGTCTTCGATCGTACCCCCTTTTGGGGGATATATTCATTCCCTGCCACACGTGGTTGGTGAACCCCTTGAAAACGAAGGGTAACAGATAACGGGGGGGAATGAGGACGAAGGGATCGGAGGAAGGGAGGGGAGGGGCAAGAAGGAGGGAGGACGATGATTTGCGCTGCGAGTGGCGACTCAGCTTGCGCCAGCCACTCCAACACAAGTTAACAATAAGTTTCGCCATGGGTCGCGCCATAAACAGCGCCACGCACCACCCCCTTGAAAAACATATCGTGGATACCCCCACGGGGTGACGCACAGCTGCGAACTGGTGTCAGAAACAAATTTCGTGGAACCCTGAAAGGAAGCGGGATGTTGGGAGAGTGGGGCGGAAGGATAGTGAGAATTGTAACCGTGTCGGGAGGAACGCGGGGACGTGGAGTGGATTGGGATGGAGTGGACAAGAGTAGGGTCTCAGGAGGAGGAGCGGCAAGGAGTGGAGAAGAGGAACCGGGAGGAGGGCGGAAGAGCGGGGGGCGCACGGAGGAATTTGGAGGAGGGGCGGGCTGGGGATAATTTGGGACAAATGCGGAATGCGAGCGGGAAGGGGTGGAGATCGTTGGGGTGGGATGGGGTGGCCCGGGGAGGAGTGGGCGGAATGCGAAGAACTGAGGAATAGCACAATGGAGTACGAACGACATGAAAATGATGAAGGGAAAGAGTAGAGAAGATTGGGAAAAAACGTTGCAAAGTAGGGGCAGGTGGATACGAGCGGAGACTGGTGCGGAAACAAGGCGCGGGGGGATTGGAAGGCACCCGAAAGCCTCCTATGACCTCTGGGGTGCCTCGGAATGGCCCCGACCGATGACCACCGAGCAGTTCCAGAGGCCCTGAAAACCTCGCCCCAGGGGCCTCGTCGATGGGAGGCCTTCATTCGAAGCCTGCAGGGGAACCTGGGCCAGTGGAACACGCGCGTCTCAAAGGCCGGCAAACCGGGCCCCGGCAAGCGGCGGACCGTCGGCCTGGCCAGTGGCAACGCTGGCGATGCACGCACCGACCCGCGGCAACCCGACCCCAAGATGGACAGACAGTGGGCTCACCACGACGACGACGACGACCACGACGAGAGGAGGGAGGAGGAGAAAGAGGAGGAGGGAGGAGGAGGAGGAGGAGGAGGAGGAGGAGGGAGGAGGAGGAGGAGGAGGGGAAGGAAGGGAGGGAAGGAGGGAAGGGGAGGGAAGGGAAGGAGGAGAGGAGGAGGGTGGGGGCTGAAGGGCCGACAGGCTGGCCCTCGGCAGGCGGCGAGGCAGTCGCACGGATTATCGGCCTGGCTGGCTGACGGGTCGGAGTGCCCAGCCCCGGGCGGCAGGCGGGCCCCAAGGGGGGCGGCCAGGGACGACGACGACGACGACGACGACAATGACGATAGGGGGAGGGAGGGAGGGAGGGGGAGGAGGGAGCAGGGAGGGACGGAGGGACGGGAGGGACAGCTGCGAAAGGAGGGAGAGAGGAGAGAGAGAGAGAGGGAGAGAGAGAGAGAGAGAGAGAACCAAAGAGAGAGAGAGAGAGAGAGACACAGAGAAAGAGAGAAGGAGAGAGAGAGAGAGAGAGAGAAAGAAATAAAGAGAGAGAGAGAGAGAAAGAGAGAAAGAGAGAGAGAGAGAGAATAACAAAACAAAACAGAGAGAGAGAGAGAGAGAGAAATAAAGAGAGAGAGAGAGAGAGAAAAAAAGAGAGAGAGAGAGATAGAGAGAGAGAGATAATAAAAAAAGAGAGACAGAGGAAGGGGGGGGAACGAAAAAAAACGACTGATAGAGAGAGAGAGAGATAACAACAAATGAATAGAGAGAGAGAGAGAGAGCGCGGAGGACGAGGAGGACGCGGACCCCCGAAGCCCGGCCGACCCCCGACCCCGAGACCCGGTCGAACCAGGTTTTTTTTTTACGCGCTGGGCCCCCGACGTCCACGGACTGCGCCAGGCCCCAGCGCGGAGGGGGGGCGACAGAACGGCAGAGGGGAAGCGAGGATGAGCGAGGGGCCAAGCGAGAGGAGGAGAAGAGGAGATGGAGGGCCCCCCCAATTTTTTTGAGAAGTGGCGATGGCGCCTAAACAATGTTGCGCGGCGGGGACGGCCTGAGGGGCGAGGCGCTTGAAGCTGAGATCCAAAACTACTCGCGCGCTCCAGCTGAGCACTGTTCGAAATTGATCAGCACGAATCTGCCCAGAGAAGGGAGGAAAGCTGGAAAGGCACCGCGA